AATCAGAGGTAGATCCTGCAAGGACTGAGCTACACCTTCATAATACCCGTGCATGCCGACCCATGCTATGATGCACAGGAACACGCAATTCGGCAATTTACATCTTTTGGTGCAGGCAAGCCTTGCCTCAAGATTGGCTGGATAACAGTAGTGCTTTGATGCGGGATCAACAAATCTGTGGAGGCAAGACAAACCCACAAAGCCAATTCGATTTCACTTCAGAAATCCTCGCCTTGCTGAGCTTGTCAGGAACATCCAATTTCGTGGACATCAAATCAGGGATGTGAACATAGCGAGGCTCGTCGGCGTCATCCTGGCCAAGCTCCTGTCAGACAGGAATGCACATTTGCGAGAACCTCAACCAAGCCAACGGATGACAGCCCGCAGCCCGTGGCCAGGTCAAAAACGATCTCTTGGCCCCCATCGGTTGAACAAAATCACGGCAAACAGCCATCCTGTGCACCTGACTAGTCCTTGGGTTGGGCAAGTGACGCTTGGACGCCTTTGGGAAATCGACACATTCCCCTGCCTGGAGAGAATGCGAGTGCGTGCACTTATCTCCATATCGGCATGACTGTCCGGTGGCAAAGAACCTGCACAGCTTTGTGCCTGGCGCCGCACTGTGGCATTTCTTGGTCGGCGATCATGGCAGACTCTAAGGACACACGACAAACCTAGAAAAAGGCATGTTGATGTATTGATGGTAGCCATATTTGCTGACTTGTGCAGACATGTTCCAACGTCAACCGCTGTGGTCAGCAAGCCCTATCTTTGCAAAAGCTTGGAAATCTCTGGAATTCTCGGGAGCTTTGGGAAAGGCCTGTGAGGTTCGGCTTGCCGCGCAACTGCGACTCGTCATGGGCAAAGGTGCACTGGTCCCCGCGGGTGCACTTCTTCCTGCGAAGCGAAACCCAGATGGAAGTCAGGATACAGGCTCCAATACATATGAGCCACGGTCAAAACAACGTGTTTCTCTGGGAAAACCAGTGAGTCTCCTGATTTTGGGAAACTTCATGAGCCACCCCAATGTCCCTCCCACATGGGCAATAGACTATATTAATAAGGATGTTTGCCTAAACCTCATGGATACATGCATGTTCTAACCCACCCCGTGGGCCCACGCTTTGCGTTTGTGTAAGTGCGAATGGTTCCATGCAAATGTTGATGTGCCAAACCACCCACCAACCCGAGCAACCGAGACCGACTGACCAACCCACCCAACTCACCAATCGAGCGACCAAGCATCCAAGCAACCGACCCGCCAGCGAGCCAACCAACCTAGCAACAACCAACCAACCAACCAACCAACCAACCAACCGACCGACCAACCGACCAACCGACCAACCGACCCACCAACCGACCAACCGACCTAGCAACAACCGACCAACCGACCAACTGACCAACCGACCAACTGACCAACCGACCAACTGACCAACCGACCAACTGACCAACTGACCAACTGACCAACCGACCAACTGACCAACCGACCAACTGACCAACGGACCAACCGACCAACTGACCAACTGACCAACCGACCAACGGACCAACCGACCAACCGACCAACCAACTAGCTGACCAACGGACCAACCGACCAACTGACCAACCGACCAACTGACCAACCGACCAACTGACCAACCGACCAACTGACCAACCGACCAACGGACCAACCGACCAACTGACCAACCAACTAGCTGACCAACGGACCAACCGACCAACTGACCAACCGACCAACTGACCAACCGACCAACTGACCAACCGACCAACTGACCAACCGACCAACTGACCAACTGACCAACGGACCAACCCGACCAACTGACCAACCGACCAACTGACCAACCAACTGACCAACCAACTGACCAACCGACCAACTGACCAAACCAACGACCAACTGACCAACGGACCAACCGACCAACTGACCAACCGACCAACTGACCAACCGACCAACTGACCAACCGACCAACTGACCAACCGACCAACTGACCAACCGACCAACGGACCAACCGACCAACTGACCAACCAACTAGCTGACCAACGGACCAACCGACCAACTGACCAACCAACTAGCTGACCAACGGACCAACCGACCAACTGACCAACCAACTAGCTGACCAACTAACCAACCAACCAACCAACCAACCAACTAGCTGACCAACGGACCAACCAACCAACCAACCAACCAACCAACCAACCAACCAACCAACCAACCAACCAACCAACCAACCAACCAACCAACCAACCAACCAACCAACCAACTTCCATCTTCCATCCACTTGCAGTACCCAGCCATCGCGACTTCCTGTGGTTCTGCTCGGTTCCTCTGGATTCCACTCTGGCAAGCGATGTCCTTTAGGCAGCCCTCCCCAAATGCTGCCCAAACGCTGCGTATATTGCGCACAAAAGGCTTCCAATGAAGCCGCAGCTTCAGGCACTCAACAAGGGAAAAGGCCAACATATGACAAAGTTAGAACCTTTGAGGACGATGAATCGAAGTATTGGAGTTGCTAAGCAGCATTTCTTCTTGCTTTGAAGCCCTTTTGAGTTTCGGACAGTCGCTGTGGGGGCAGCATCTTGTCAACGCCGGATCGTGGGCCGGCGAATTTGGAAACTAGGTGGAGTGGTAACTGCCTGATGTCCTCACCTCCTGAAGGTGTGCCCCCTTTGTGCTTAAATCGCTCAACACAGTTTCTTGAATTGCACAGAAAAGCTTCTGAAACGTACCTGAGTAGTATCTGAATCATGCAACACAGCTTCTGAATCGCAGTGTCTGAATCGCGAACAATCCGTGCCTAATCGGCGTCAATTGGGGGAGGTACAAAACTCCTTACTTGTCCACCATCCTTCGGAACAGGAGGTGCACACAGACACAAACAAACAAACAAACAAACAAACAAACAAACAAACAAACAAAAACACAGACCCCTGCCGGCGTTGTGCATCACGTAGCAAATCTGTTTCGACTCCTGAAGCCCATTGACTTCAAAGGTTTTGAGAAAAGGGACACCTTCCGCCACACCAACCATTGCTTGGCCATGAGCTTCGCTTCAATGCTCCCCATGCCCCTCCGATAGCTCCTCAAGTGGAACTTGCACATCGAGGTGTAGCTTAGCACCGGAAGGCCTGAGCCAGCAAAATTAGCCAGTCTTATTCTTCCCAGATTAACCTGTCAAAGGAAACTGGCCTGCAAGCAAACAGGAGCACTTGCATGCAAGGCTGACAGCTTACAAAGGCAGAGTCGCCTCAGGCCTCCCGCCTTTCACGGCAAAGGAAACCAAGCGGACCCCAACGAAGGACCCTCGTATTTAACGCCTGCCATGATCTTCCGAGTCTCCTGGGGTGCCATCCTCCTGCTTGCGAGATCGCCGGGCTCGCTTGGACATGTCAACCGCCATGGCTCGTGGAAGGCTTCGGCGGAGTCGAGGTTCTGGGGTTGACGAAGCTCACCGTGAAAATCGCTGCGGGGGGGTTCTCCGTGCGAAGCATCGGTATACATTCTGACTCACCCTCATTTGCCCACCAAGCAAGCAAAGACCCACTCGCGCAACAAAAAAAGTGTACAAGAAAAACAAGCTCTGCTTTGCCGTCTTCAAGCAAGCTTGCAAAGCAAAAATAAGAGACTCGACTCCACCCGGGGCGCACCCTTATGGACGCATCCGTCTGTGTGTGGAGCTGTGCAAGCTCCGCATCCTGCGCCGCAGGATCGAAGGATCGAAGGAAGGATCCCAATGTCGAAGCTTTCGCTTGTGGGGGGGGGGATTACCTCTGATTCAGCCCAGAGTTCACTTGCAAACAAAGGACTGTAACACGGGCGGTTCGCGTGAGGCTTAGCAGCTCGTCCTAAGAATCGCAAACACCTCACACGCAGGGCCTTCAGCAGCTTCTCTGCTTTGGCCGCCTGCGCACGTTGCGCGAACAAAGACGGACTCCAAAACGCTTCGGACGCGCGCAGGCTCCAAAACACTCCCACGCTTTCGGAAACAGCCTACATTCTTCTGGCACGATGCCCATCTGGCTTTACAGCTGGATTGGCACAAGAGACAAGAGGGCAGGACCTTGGACTGGATTTGGCTCGTCTTTGTGATCTTGATTGCCAAAGCTTCGGATTTCATCATGACGATAACAGCTCGACAGACCCGTCAAAGGAACGACAGCACAAACAACATGCCTTGCTTGGCCATTCTTGAGTGTGACATGTTGGAGGCACCCCATCATGACCTAAGTGCGTAGATCAAAAGAGCCAGCTTCCATAGAACCTTATTGCGACGTGCTGTTCACTTCGGAGCAAGGTTATATAGTAATGAGAGCGCAAATGCCTGAACTTCGAGAAAGGGACAAGGACGTCCCATTTCGATGAGTGTGGGTGCTGTAAAAACGTGAACTAGAGGACATCACATGCAAATGACTCGGCCCCGGCCTCAGCCATGGTTCAAAGTGTGGCCGCGCTACTCGTGTCAGGCCCTTGAGCCAGCGCGAGCCCTGGTACAGAACATCCACACTGAAACTCAGTCAGACTCCTGGCTTCAGTGTACGAGTCTCTTCTCTCACGATGCTTGTTCAACCACGGTAGGCAAAAGGAAATCTTGCATGACTGCGATTGCCTCATACTAGCATAACCCATGCCTCGACCGCCCTTCACAGGATCCGGACGCCAAGAAATGTGAGGGGACCGAAGTTCATGTCATGTTGGCTCATATAAAAAAAAAAAAAAAAAAAAAAAAAAAAAAAAAAAAAATCGTCAAGCAATAGACCAAACAAAATATGCCGCTGCGGCTTGCCAGTCAGAAACCTGCCGCAATCTCGCACTTTTGGCAAGCATGGTCCCGTGGGCCAAACTGAAACCAGGGCATCGCTGTAGTCCATGCGGCACCTTCTACCAGGGTTCCATTTTGGGGTGACCCCATTTTTGACCAGCCAAATGAGATCAAACAAATCCCCGGCGGACGCCTCCGCCGCTCGAGTTCCGACAGTCAGCTCCCATCCCCGCTCGCCATCCCGGGGGGCTCCGTCCAGGGAGCCTCGAGCGCCTGCAGCTTGTTCTCCGCCAACTGCAGCTCCTGGCTGGGGATCTCTGGGAGGCTTTTGGTATGCCAACCCAAGCCGACACTCTTGAAGTGTTTTGGACGTGGATGACACATGGTCCATAGGTTCCTGGGGTTTAAAATAATGGTTGTTGTTGATTTCGCCGCGTGCCCAATCGTAGTGGTTGGCAATCCTAGCTACAAAGGCACATTCATGCTTCGAGCTTGGTCCCTGACTCCCTGAGACTTCCTGCAATACTCAAAGCAATCGACAGTTGGTGTGAGATGCATCCGCAAATGACAGCTGCAAACAGCGCCATGCATCCTTTGGCAGTTCATGCAATTGATAAATGCAGTCTTTCTTGGGCCATGGGTCTCCTGCCAGAGGAGAGAAGCAACCATTTTGGCGTAGCAAAAACATATACACCAACCGGTCGCGAAAAAGAGCACACAGCAAGTCTGAAAATTACGGACCTTTCAAAGCCTCAAAAAGCTGTGCTCCCTTGGCACATGGCGCGACGGTCACAGGTCTTAGGGACCCTTGCGACTGCTCAAAACTATTTCCTCAAGATGGCCGATGGCTCAGCTCCCGCCTCCAGTGCGGTAGCCTCGTTGATGCCTCAGCGGCTGAGGGAGAGAAGCGGAAGGGTCCAAGTTCAGTCGGCCTTCTCAAGACTTTGCCTGTTGGGACTGGTGTCTTTGTCTTTGTCTCCTTGTTTGGAGGGTACCCCCTTGTTGTTGATTTGGATGTGGCTCAAATAAATGTACCAACATGGCACCTTGGTACATGGAGACAAAAACTAACTCCTGCGTAACCCTAGAAGCCAAAAGGACCCCCCCCCCCTCCCATTTTGGGGCTCCCCTAAACCAAGAACCCCACTTTGCAGTTCTTGCCGCTGGGAGCCAAGCCATTGAGGTCCGCCAGCTCGTTGCCGGAGGCCTCCCGAGCCGCTGCGTTCCCCTTTTCGGACGACAGGTTGGCTCCTTCTGCGAACTTTTGGAGGCAATTGCACCACTTCAAGTGTAACACACTAAGCCGACAGCTCCTTGAGAATCGGATTGTTCACCACTACGCAGCTTTATGTTGTGGTCTTGCAGTTGACACCTTGCCCGATTGGGGCCTTTTATGATGCAGCAGCCACAGACGATAGGCGTTCTAAACCCACATTAGCTTTGAATGACTTGTATTGTAGGTGAGCAGTCAAGGTATGTTTGAAATGCGCAAAACTAACCCCAGCAAATCAACCTGATTCTCCCTGGGCGGCATGGGCCACACTACTTGGTTTAACGCACAAGAAGACGCTTCGTCTCAAGCCAAGGCATGGCAAAGTGACCTCCCGCACTAGGGCCAGAGCATTCAGAAGCTTGAGACTCGGCAGCGCGCCAAGCCCGGCCAAGCTGGTCAGCTTGTTCCTCGGCGCTCGCCATCGCATGAGCTATCAGTCTGTTAGCACATCGAAGGTCCTGTAGAGGGTTGGCGGTGAAGCAATCCGTTTGCTCTGCAAATCGGCAACAAACAATGTTGCTGCCCGCATTGTGCTTCAATCACTTAGGCTGCCACGAAGACAAGTCGAGCGTTTGCAGCTTCTCGTGACCTGCGCAGGAGACTTTGAAGCAGGCGGCGTTTCGACGGCAAGGTGTGGATCTTACGTCAAAGGTAGCGGACATTTTGCAACGTTGCAAACCTGCAACGATCCTCGAATTTAGTCCACAAAGCCAAGCCGGCAATTCCGCACTTTGTTTTGCAAGCAGTCTTGATGCAGCCTGAATGACGCTGAAAAACTCAAGTTTGGATTCGTGACAACTAATTTTAGTCAGGGTGGTGATGCTGGAGGGTGTCGACCAGTTTAGCCTGGGAACCAGCCCGGCGTCTGCGTTTAGTCTATGGTCGACAAAGACACTAGTGACGCTGCAATGGAGACGTCGACCAATATTGTCTGCGAGCTCGAAAAGTGCATTTCCGCACTTCGCGTTGCAAGGAAACTCATGCAGTCAAAATGTGTTTTCTTGATTAAAAAGGCGGTGTCAAACATTTTCGTCATTTGCTTTCACCACCGGTGGTGGCGAAGCTTCGTGGATTTCCTTACTGCTTGCGTAGTGGACTTCCCTGGTGCAAAGCGCCTCCCAGCTCGCAGCTCGTGATCTCGTTCCGCGCCAGCCGGAGCGCGACCAGCGCCTGAAGGCCATGCGAGTGAGGCGAAAGACCTCGCGGTTCGGTTCCATGAGCCAACCAGGAACGTCTTATCCCGGTCCATCTTAGTAGCTCAATGGCTCCTTTCAGCATTCAGTGGCAGGAAACCAACCCGCGATTCCAGACGGTTTCGACTGATTCGAGACTGACCTACAGTCTGAAACGACTGCGCTACACAAACAGAATCGACTCTATATGCAGAAAAATGTAAAGTGTGTGTGTGTGTGTGTGCGATGAGCGTGTGTGTATCTGTGTCTGTGTTTGTGTGTCTGTGTCTCAGGCGTGTTGTTTGATGTGTGTGTATGCGATGTGTGCGTGTGTGTGTGTGTGTGTGTGTACGTGTATAATCTTCAATCTTCAATCCAGGATGTTTAGCTTGTCTTAAGGATGGAATTGAAGATTTCCAGAACAAGTGGTCCGAGAATTTTCGATCTTCAACCCAGGACGTGCTAGAGCGTGCTAGTACATTCTGGATTGCTCTAAGTACAGATTTGAAGAATTCCATAAAGAGTTGTCAAAGAATCTTCAATCTTCAATCCAGCCTGTGCTAGCACATCCGAGATGTCCCTATGTATGGATTTGAAGAATCCAAAAGGCAGACCGGAAGTGCACGTTATAAGAATCAATTTGTGGATGTGCACTTGTACCACCTGCATTTCGCCAGGGAGGAAACATGCTGTTTGACAACTTTACAGTTTTCTTTGTGCACTTGAGGGCTGGCCAGGATGGAAGGTTCTCAAATACAAAATATGGTAGATCTTCAATCTTCAACACAGGGGGGAAAACCTTAATGAGTCTAGAACAAACTGTCAAGCTTTTGGGGGGCCGGGATTGAGGATGTTCTAAAAGAAGGTTTGTGAGATCTTGAATATTTGATTTTCGATCCAGAGCAACATGATCTCAGCAGAAGCTGAAAATGCATTGCATCTTTTTTAATATCAACACTAAGACCTACGTGTGAAAACACTTTTCTGTCATTGGCTTAGCTCAGTTTTTGCTTGGTTACGACCACATGGAGTTAGATAAGGACAATAACCCTTTTGAAATTGAGTTTGATTCAAAATGTGCTAGCCATGACAATAGCTATGTTCTCTGATTGATTATTGCAACGCACAAGAAACGGCAAACAATTGAAACTGACTTTGGATTGAAATCGAGCGCATTTCAAATGGATGTCCTTCCTGCATTTGAATTTCAATGGTTGTTGTTGACGATGATTGAATCAAATTAGACAAGCAACACACAACTGAGATCGTTGTTTTGCAAAAATGATTTAGCTTGACTAACATGTATATGGAATTGTGCAAGAATGAACTAACATGTAAATGCAACTGCGGAAGCAATATGAAACACTTCTATTTGTGATTCGGATGTCATTTGCGACTAGGAATCAGTTCCTTTCCCCCGAAATTGATGATTTGCTGAAATTCCTTGCCAGACAAAAATAGAGATAGCTAAGTCATAGAGCCGCTGCAGGCACCTTGGAGATGCCAAAACACACTTCACGCACTGCTAGTTGTGCTTTTGGAGCTAGAGCTGCCACACTGCACTTTGCATACTCCAGTGTGACTTTAAGTGCACTTCCCGCACACCCATGTGACTTTCGAGCTGTTTAAGTAGGATCTCCTATTCGACGTTGAGATGAACTTCTGCTTGGTTGGAATTTGCATGGAGTTGCACGTCCTGTCAATTCATTTCATGGTCTCAAGGCATGTGTTACCCCCAGTCTGGAAACACACCAGAGTTCGAGCCCAAAACCTGAATATTTGAAGGGGGGGTAGGTGTGTGTGTGTGTGTGCACACATAGTACCCCGCAAATTAACCAATCCAGGAAGCGAAAAGTATACTGAATTGGGTTCTGAGGATCTTGTCAACAAGTGTCCCAGATTTTGTCAAAGGGGCCAATCTTTAAGCCAGCAGCTTTATAGATGTGCTTAAGAAAATGAACCTTTTGCAAAAACTTATCGCCTCCTTCTTACGTCAGCCTCCGAAACCTTCTGCTGATTTGATGGACATGGCGCCATAGCCCCAAAATTGGTAGCTCACCTTCGGTGGAGCGTTCACTACATGTTTTGGCAAGGCAGCATGGCCAACCTCTTGCCATTGTCAAGTCTAATGCCGCTGGTGCAGCAAACTGAAGATAACTCGCCTGGTATGATAAGGTTGGCATATGCCCATGGTCAGAGTTGGTTCGTTCTCTCAGGTTGTGGAAACAATGAGTCTGCCTCGTTGCAAGTAGTGAGCCGATCCCTCCTCGAATGTCAACACGGAATGCAATCAAGGATCTCCTCATTTCATGTTCATCCCTCGTTTACAAGTTGTCCTTGTGGCTGTTGCGGCTTGCTTGCTTGCTTCCTTGCTTGCTTGCTTCCTTGCTTCCTTTCCTTGCTTCCTTGCTTCCTTGCGTGCTTCTGCTTTTGCTCTTGATTGCGCTTGTGCGCCTTGATTGTTTGCTCTTCTGGTCGTCGGGGTTCCGTTTGCCTCTCTGCATGCGTTGGCGGTGAATGGCACTGGTGGGTGGTGCCCCAACCCTCCCTTTCGGCGCCTGGAAGGGCAGGGGGCCCAGCGTTGGCAGCTGGTTCTCGCTCAAGTCGAGCTCCTTGAGGTTGGGGAAGACCGCCTGGTGTGAGCCAGTGAAAAACCCTTCAGAACCCTGTCATGTTTGCCCGATGACAATGCAGAATGGAAATGATTGCGAGAACACCAGCTGAAACGCACCCGATGTTGTGGCCTGTTTCAGTTTCAAGGTGCTGGGGTCATTCCGCATGTCTCTCTGGAATATTAGGCAATCTATCCAGCAAGATCCCAGCTTGGTGTCTGTGAGTCGCGATGTCAATCTCGACAGCTGCACCAAATTTCAATGGTTCGGGATTGGTGCTTCTTGAGGAAGCTGCCAAACATAAAATATACAAGATCTTGCCGTGGCTCAAACTGGATGCTTTAAGTATTGAATACCATGTTGAGGTTCAGAGCAGCCCTCCGCATTGTGGTCAATTCTTTCTATTGGGTGGTGCCTGCTGAATGTGAACAGGAAACCTCGCTGCGGTCTAAAATCCTTAGGGCTATGGCTCGCGAAGAAGGCTTAATCCTCATCGGGGTTGGCAAACACCTCAACGAGCTCCAAATATCTGTTTGCTTTGAGCTTGGCGCATCTGCCTACTCGCGCTGAAACCCAGAAGGAAGGTACATTCTGACCACTCAAAGTGGATAGCACCTTGGACTAGGTACCACCAAAATGGTGCGACAAGGCTGACGGGCAAGATGAAGGATTCCGAGCGGGAAGGATTCGAAGGATGACATCCCATCCACCCTTTGGGAGTTAGACTAGACCTTGCCCATCTTTTTTCTATAAAAAAACCTAGGGTCCTCCCCACACTTTTAGCAACATTTTAAAACAGCACCTCAAACAGCACATTTTCAAAAATCAACATTTTAAAGCAGGTAATTTCCTAGTAAGTTCATCCATATTTTAAAAAATAAATTTTACAAAATTTTAAAAAATAAATTTTACAAAATTTTAAAAAATAAATTTTCAAAAAAAATAATTTTAAAAAATAAATTTTAAAAAAATAAATTTTCAAAAAATAATAATTTTAAAAAATAATTTTTTAAAAAATAAATTTTAAAATAATAATAATATAATTTTAAAAAATAAATTTTACAAAAATTTACAAAATAAATTTTCAAAAAAATATAAATTTTAAAATAATAATAATATAATTTTACAAAATATAATTTTACAAAATTTTCAAAAAATATTATTCCAAAAATTATGATAAATTATTTTACAATAAATTTTATCACAAATTTTGTAGAAATATTATGGGCAAGGTCTGGTTCATTCGTTTTTTACGGGCACCATTCTTCCTTAATTCTTTCTATTATTTTATCACACGTTGTTTCATTATAAATATTACTTCCTATTTGTTTTCTAAACATTCCCATTATTCCAATTGCACGTGTTATTGTATATCTAAGTTCGTGAGTTTTATACTCATCATTTAAAAACTCATTTAAAAAATCAAACAATATAACATATTTTAAACGTTTAATATTAAAAGAAACGTTATATAATTTTTTTACCATACTATAATACTTAAAAATAAAATCATTATTATATCCTTCGTCATCACACTCAGTTAGTAAATTATCAAACCCTTCTATAGTTAAGAAATTATTCATTACAATAAACACAAATATTTCTAAATCGTCATCAAGAGTTTCATTATTTATAATATCAATATCTTTGTTATTCATATCATCAATTTTGTTTATAATTCTATTGCAATTATTGCATATAATGTATTGACAAATATTATTACAAACGCCATTTGTAAAACCGCGTTCAATTGGTAATTTTAGCATTTCACAGTCTTTGCATTTATAACTCATAAACCTTTTTTTCAATATATTTTTAGCATCGTGGACTGTATCACTCATCAAACTATATAATAGTATTATAAAATATTTCTTTAAATACTTTTTACAAGAATTTTAATTTAAAATTAAATTAGGTTATGTAGATAAAATTTCATAATTTAAGTTCAGGATAATAATTTAATTGATGACTACTAAGTTGTATATATAACTTATGTCTTTCATGCATTATTTTTAAAATAATATTAATATCTCTCACTGTATTTTTAACATTAAACTTTTTACTTTCAATATATGTTTTAATGTCTTCTTTTACATCAAAACCTTCCCTGCTATAATAGGTCAACATCCATAATATACCTTCAATCATTTTATATTTTTTCTTACTGATTTTTAGAAATATTCTAACATAACTATAAGGTGGTCTTCCGTACACAGTTAAAAATATTAAAATGTCATCTTCAACATTTCTTTTATCTATTTCTTTAATCTCCAAAATATGTTCTATTATATTTTGATATCGTCGCCATCTTCTGCAAGTTCTACATACATCTTCTTCGTCCAATGCATAATCAATAATATTATTCACTATTCCATTATGTAAATTCAATTTATACAATTCCATATTTTCCTTTTTGAAGTGGCAACAATCATAGCATTTTTTATTGATATAACTATTGATTTTGGTTTTCATCATCTCGCTATATAATATATATAGGTAATATTTCTTTAAATACTTTTTACAAGAAATTTAATTTTAAATTAAAATTAAATTAAAATTATAATTATATTATCATAATTAAATTAAAAATTATCATCATTTACAACTACAATTGCATAATTTACAAAATGGGATGATATTTTCTATTGTATGAGTTAATTCATTATCTTTTCGTTGTGCTGTTAGATTTGTAATGATATTACCATTTTTCATATCAATAGTAAAACCACATCCGCAGTAATTACATTGATTATTTATATTATCTAGAAACCATTGAGTATTTACATAACCTTCTCTAGGTATGCTTCTTTTTGCTTTCCTGTCTTGTTCCTTATAATTCAAAATTTTCCTTTCAAAATAACTCATAATACATTTTTGATTAAATACATCATCAACATCCTTTGTATATTTATAAAATTTGACTTTGTTTAAATCACGAGCACGTGTTACCGCTGTAAAAATCCATTCTGGATAATTCTTTACCAAAAAATGATTATAATCAAAAATTGTTATGGTGTCATCAATGCTACTACCTTGAGTAGAATGACATGTAGAGCAAGAAGAAAATATAAAATTGCTTCTTATTTTAGCAATTTCTACGGATTGTAAAATTTCGGTTTTTACATTTTTTAATGTAAATATTCCATCACTTCCAATATGAACTATTTTATATTTGAAATTTACATTAAAAACTGATGTTTTAGTTTTAGTATATTCTCTACAAATTAAAAATTCTCCTACTTCATATTCATCTTTTCTATTTTCTAATTTTCTAATTTCATTTGATACATTTTTACAAGTTGTATTTAAAAATGCTATGTTGTTTTTGGAACTACTTATGTCTGTGGTGTATTCAAAATATTTTTCAATAATAGTTTTAATTGGTAATTTATTAATAAAAATATCATATTTTATATTCTTGAGTTTATCCTTATCTTCCTGTGTGTTAAGTCTCTTACATTCTTTCAATATTATATTATGTGTAAAAATATTATCTATAATATTGTCAGTGTATAATTCATAGTCTTGAGTATTTGTTATTTCTTGCACTGGTTTTAATTGCTTGGTGTCTCCTGTTGCTATTATAATTTTGTTGTGCTTATTCTGTTCTACAAATTGTTTTATTCTCCAGTATATATTTAAATTACTAAAATAGATTTCATCAAATACTATTACATCAAATTCTGTAAAATCAAATGGTTCTAATTTAGCATCTCCATAATTAATACCAAAGAATTTATTTATCGTCATTGCTTCTCCTTCAAATGCCTGTAATAGTTTATTAGTAGGACAAATAAAAATTACCTTATAATTTTTATCAACCATTTTTTGACATATATATGATTTTCCTGTGCCCGGTAGTTCACCTCTGATCATAATAGGATTATTCTGTTTAACAATCTCTATAATGTTATCAGTGTCGTATTCATCTTTAATATCAATAGTTTTACTTTCATAAGCTGGTATTTTTATTAATTCATTATTTACAACGTTAAATTTTACTGTAGGTAAATTAATTTCATCTCTCTGCTTTGAAACTTTCCAACCTCCTATATCATCATGAAATTCTAATAATTGCTTTGTTTTTTCTTCATTGCATGTATCAATTACAAAAGCATCTGTTTTTACACTATATATATATTAATATTATTAGTTATTAGTGTCTTAAAGTCTTGGTTCATTTTAAAATTGTGATGTTGTAAAAGTAATTCTTTAATATATCGATATCCGTTTCTTAGTACTGCCTTATCCTTCAAATTCAAAATATAATATGATGCCTTTACATCCCATTCATCCTCATCAAATCCATAATATGTTGTAGTTGCGCCTCCTTCGTCGTCATATTCGGTTATCATTTCGGGATATTCGCTTATAATATGCGATAACTTATTAATTTTACCTCCGTATTCTGTTTGATAATGGACTGCTTCATCAATACTTTTAAATAAAATACTTTGATGTGCTGTAGCGCCTCCTTTTTCTAATAATCCAAAATTGACATTTGCTATTAACTTTTTAATTAGTTTATCTAATGCTTCGTCATGTTCATCTATATTTGTTTGTAAAAGTTCATTAATAATATTTGTATATTCAACCTTATGAATAAATGAAGGTTGTTTATAATATAAAATATTGATTTTGTGTGTCTTATTCTCATTGATGAATTCCTTCAAAAACTTGCCATATACTAGATTATATTTTTTGTTGAAAAATAAGTTGTGATTACCACTTATTACAATGTTTCTAATTGCTTGTTTTAATTCATCAGGATTTAAAAACAAACTTAAATCATGTGTTTTACGAAATTCTATATAAGTAGCAACGTCAATACCTTTACTATATGCAATAGAATATATCATCTGCTTGGTGTGTTGATTTTTCTCTATTAGTTCCTTAATGCTGTCCATTGTTGTTTTTAATGGTCTTACATTTGTATCAAAAGTTTCAACATAATATAAAGTTAATTCATGGAGTTCATCTATTTTAATTTCATCGTTGTATTTTTTCCAATGGTCAAACTG